AACAACACAATAGTAATTTTAGTACTTCTTTCATGTTTTCTATTAGCTAAAAGTCGCTCATTATAAATTCAGAGTTTTTGTCTCTTCATTTTCTCTGGTTTGCGAGTAATTAACAATATTTCGTCAGTTTCATTACATTTCATGAGTTACCAAATTCACTGTATTTCTACCTTCGTACCCCCTGTGAAGCGGCCCCCTGGTTCGTGTGCAGTATTACAATTGATATGGATAACAAATCTGACACATTGAGAAAAATCACTGTCGATTCGATAACAGACACCGAGTGATTGAAGAGCCCCAGTGCGCACATCAATAACGGGGCTACTAGCCGAATTAGTCTTTCAACGTTCCAGTTGCTAAGAGGACTTAGTCCGGATGTCGACTGGGGAACGTTTTTTGAAATGGCACCCAAGTCCAAACTCAGACGACATGATTACCACCTTAAAAGGGAACTGTGCCACACAAATCAACCTTCCTCCTTTTTCTCACAGAGGGTCATGCGCAAATGGAACTCTTTATCGGAGTATGCTTTTAATTCCCCTACCGTGAGTGTGTTCAAGAGACAACTGGATACTCGCCTGCTGAAAGGCAACCCGAACTGCCGAAGCCTAATCTAGCGGATTACTGAAATGACTATAAATATACTACTAACGCGATTTAAATAGATCTTTTTGTGTGTTAAACTTGACACATGGACATTTTCAGTCCGAATGCGGTGAATAAAGTATTTCACAATTATTTCGCGAATATCATACCCATTTCGCATTTGTGTTCCATTATTAGATTAATGAATTCTCCTTACTAAAACTGAAAGCAAATTTTTTGCAATTTAACTATTTTCTCTTACACCTGTACCGTCTAAATGGAGTTTTCAGGGCTTCTGTCGTTTACTCCAAATATACTTACTGACTGACTGAAGAGGATGTTATTCGAATTCTCAGGCCAAAAGGTGTACTCGCTACAAGGACATTACCTTTGTTATCATAAAGAATGGAGAAATTAAGCAAGTGCATCGAAGGCTGGCTAATGTGCCCACTATACTATTCCCCCGCTAGGAGTTTTCGGATAACTGTCGTTATTGCCCGTTAAAAAGCCTCTGATGCCGGGATCATCGAAATTACGGGATCGGTTATCCTGCGGCTTACAGAAGAAGTTGCGTGCCAGCTGGTTTTCGCGGCAACCACCTGCTTGAAAAGGAGTTGGCATACCCATATCAGTTATTGCTACCTAATGGATTCCCTATTAGATTTGTGAAATACTCTCCCAGAAGTCATAACCAATCAATAGGCTCCAACACTAACGGATAATGAAGTGATCTCTAGGCAACTCAGTCGGTTCGGTACCTTCATCGTACACATGCCACCCTCTTCCCTGCGCACAGCGTTTTCTGATTGGTCCTGCGTGTTGAGGCAGGCACAGCCGCGATGGAGCGGTCACACAGTAAGGATGGATGACGAACGCATTTCTAGGAGGCTATTTTAAGTTGACATGGTTGCGGATGCTCGCAGACAAGACGGACAAAAAACATCGTCAAAAGGATACCTTGAAGACCTCTTTCAGGCACCTGAAAGTTAATCCAGAAACCTAGAAGGACCCCATCCGGAACCACAGGCATGGCACGCTGCCGTAAAGACCGGGACAGTTAGCTTCGATGCTAACCGAGTAGCCGCTGCCAAGGCAAAAAGACCGGCTAGCTAGATCCAACTGCCGTGAACTAGTAACGCAAACTCCCAAGCCCCAACAATGCTAACGGACATTCCGGCCACCAGACTTGCCTTGCTAAACATCTTCGGTCCCCGTACAAAGTCAACACGACAGAACCCGCCTCTCATCCCAAAAAACATCACTACCATCGCCAGGATCTCCAGCGAAAACACCCCAACCATCCTACCAAGCATCACCGCCAAGGCCCCTTCTAACATTAAAGTTGACCCCCTCGCGATCTGTCCCCATTGCGATCCCACCTTCGAGTCATGCATCGGCCTGGTCGATTACTTGCGGACTCATCACACTATTGCCGTCGAAGTAGTGTCTGAAGCTCCATGACACACCCATCACGCCCCTTTCCCTGTCCCGGGACATTTTATCATCTCATGGGGTTATTTGGCCATATTCGCATAAGGGATCTACCACGATATCACAAAGACCAGGTCACCTCATAAACCCAAAAGCCCTTCTGCTCTCAGCATAACTAACTCCACCACAATCAACGCGGATAATACTACAATTCGCAAAGACTATCTCGTCCCAGCGACTGTGTCCTCTTCTCGTCGTTTCATACTGTTCTGACTGTCACTGTACATTCAAATCACTCATCGGCGTAGTCAGTCACTCTGAATTCCTTGTACTGAGACTGGCGTGCAATTGTCAGTATGTCCAACATATACCCGTCACGCCTGTCTCGCCTGCCCAGTCTAGATGACCATATGCATATCCACAGCAATTTTGATTTAAACACCAAGGTCAAGAAGCCAGCATAACACCTCAACCTACAGGTACAAACAAACAACCTAACATTCACATGAATGTACTCAACATCGCGCATCTGCACCTCTCCTCCTCGTAACACCCAACGCATCATTGCTGCGGCAAGCAGGGGATTCACTTCATCACTGATGATACGGCGTACGAAGCGCTGCAGGTCAGAACACGCATGCCTCGCTTAAGTGGGAAGCATGTCCTTCGGTGTGACTTGGGGACCAGGTTGCAAGTGTGTCACACGAAGCCCGGTTATTCAGCTTTGAGAGCTACTGTGCCGCATTTCAAAACCACTGCCATCGGATCACGTCAGGTTTGCCAGGACGTATGGATGTTGCTCCATTCTGCAACCATCTCCCGATATGACTACGCAGTGTGACGGCGGTGAACGACCTCGTTTGACACACTATGTGCACGTGCTCTTAGACCGTCTCAGTGGGTTCTGTGCATGTGTCTGGTTCTGCTGCGAGTTCATTCTTAGGGTCAGGTTGAGTCATCTCTCTGGCTCCAGCACAATCTCCTATGGTGCGGCCTCAGCTGACGTCAAATGCAGTCACTTCCGATGATTCGTTCTTGAGGTAGGGCTCTCCTATCTTCGAAGAGCTCATGATGCAACCCGCTGGAGTCCTGGTCTTTTAATTTTTGTGTAAACACTGCGTTGGCATATCTTGATTTTGTCGTATGTCAGACAGAGGTGTATTTTTAAGAGCGTAGAAGTCTTCTGTAACCATCCAACGCCGGTGATTATGCCAGATTATCGGATAAAGATGATGCTTAGAGTAGATGTGACGTCTCATGAAATGTTAACTGGAATTCCAAAATATGTTTTCAATTCAAAAATATTACTTAGGTAGTGTTGTAATATTAATTTTCGCGCAAGGAAATCCCAATATATTTCCGTTCTACCAGGATGCTGGCTTTTGAATTAGCCTCTTTTCGGCCGCCTGCAAGAGACGCACTCCATAAGTAATGGCTACTTAAGTAGTATGAGATGTCCCGTTGTTTTTCGATGCCCTTATAAGTTTACAGAGAGCGTGCGCAACAGTATTCCTTTTTGTGCTCGTATGATGGCAAATTACATCTTAAAATTTAATACCCAAACAAAGGGTATCTTTAGGTTTCAAAAAAGTTTATAATGGTCAAATTTTTCTAAGACCGTCCAATGTCCATTCACACAGCGTCGCATCAACACGTTTATTAGTACTATTTCTAAAGCGTTGAAGTCGGTCCACATCCATCGCACATTTTCATGAATCCTACATGAAGATTTACTAACAGCATAGAGGAATGTGTGATATTCCTTTGACGGAATTTATACAGGATGTGGTTTAAAAACTTTGAATTCAAGTGTACCGGCAGGTGGGGTAAAAAATTATTCGGAAATTTAAAAAGTTTTGAGAATCGGGACACACTCTTTAAGTTGAAAATGTGAAGAAGACGTAATTTGATAACGAATGAATACGACAGAATTTTCATGTGCACGTTTTCTATAAAATATATTGGGATATATAAGGACATCAAAAATCAATGTGAAGAGTGAACGCCATTTAATTTGTCATTTTTTACCCTGTGTGCTTTTTGCAGGTCATCGAAAAGATGCTTATTCGAAAGCCGACATCCCGGTAAGAATAAAATATCTTAGGATTATGCTGTACGATAGTTAATATTACAAACCTACCTAAGTTATCCTTTCGAGTCGAAAACGTATTTCATAGTTTCGGTTGACATTTATTAACACATCTACTGTGTCCTATGGCGGTTCACTTAGGGTGGGAAGTACGACCTAGCCCCATCCCTTTAGAGTGCATCGCGCGTGACTCACTCCTCGGCTCGCCGACACGCTGATGCCAATGGATGCTTTTATCTCTGATGATTGGCCGCAACCGACTGATTCTCAGCCTGATTGAGCAATTGCTGCCGCTGCCTCATGCGTTTCTTGTACTCTCCCCGTTATGCTAAACGGTGTCCTACCGATTCTGTCTTCCTGACTATTTATCTCGGAAGATCGCCATTTTCGACCATTGTACCTGGAAATATAGTCGAATGTACATTTATTGCGAGGTGTTTTTGAGGCAAAGGTACGTCAGGAAACATTTTGGCAAATTGCAAATGGAGAGTAACGTGGCAGTTTTAAGTAAACGATTTCAACTGCTTCAGTCTGCCTCTCTCTCGCGAAGGACAGCAATGGTTCTACATGAAGGAAACGTCTCAGTAAAAACGCCGGAAATCACTTTGTGGGGAGGGACTTTTTAAAATAACAGGATTTCACGAATGGAAGAGAATATGCGCATCCCAGGTTCTTGTTTAAAAGAAGACAAAGGCACGATCACTGGGACAGTAGATTTATTTGCCTCAGCTTTCGAACTCGAACTGGAGTTCATCATCAGAGACTTCTTGAGTGCAGCAAATTGTGAACATTCATATCGCTTGCCCTTGGGGGTGGGGGAGTACGTCCGTGGCTAGGTAGGGTTTGTGCCGCCTGGTCCACGATGGTCCCCCGGCGTGGTGACGCTGTTTGGACTTCACGACGGTGTGAGCTGCGCCACCTGGCTGCGTGGGCGGAGAGCGTGATAACACACAGGCAAATCGATGTGTCTGTTGATAGAGTTGGTGTCCCACACCCACGCCTCCAACAGCGCTCGCCCTGTCTTGTTGCCGGCTCGCGCCAATATCCGCGTGTTGGCGAAGTCGAACTCATGGCCTTCCTCCAGAGTGTGAGTGGCTACTTGAGATAGTGGGTCGCCTCTCCGAACGGCCCGTTTGTGCTCGAGTATTCGTGAGTTGAGACGTCGTCCTGTCTGGCCTGTGTAGTGGCTAGGACAGTTTTGGCGCGGGATATGATAGACTACGCCCGACTGTTCACCTGCGTCCAGCCGATCCTTCATTTTCATGATCCTGCTTCGCATGGTGGCCGCCGGATGATGAGCGATGCCCACGCCTAGCTCTGACGCAATGCGTTCTGTAGCCTCGGCCACATTCTTTATGTACGGTGGGAAGTGCCAAATTGTTGGTGTGTCTCTTCCGTTTGTCCGGCGTGGGTGCGTGCGTATGCACCGAATGATAAAACTATTTGCGTAGCCGTTCTTTGTTTGTTGGTCCTGGAGATGCCGTAGTTCTTGCATCCTTCCTTCGGGCTCGCTACAGTGCGTTTTTACCCGGTCGAAAAGCGCCCTCATACAGCCCCGTTTGTGCACCAATGGGTGGTTGCTATGATAGTTGAGGACCTGGGTTGTATTGGTCGCCTTTCTGTACACTGTAATGCTGAGTTCACCGTCAGGTGTGCGCGTGACGAGTACGTCCAGGAAGGGTAGTTTCTCGTCCTCCTCGTCTTCTCTTGTAAACTGAAAGTCGGGGAATATGCTGTTAAGTAAGTCTTGAAAACCCGATAGCTTGTCCTTTTCAATAATGACGAATGTATCGTCCACGTATCGGCGCCAAAACGCATGTTTGTAATGGCTGAAAGCAACCTTTTCCAGCTCGTGTAGGACCAATTCCGCAACTAGGCTGGATACTGGGGAACCCATGGGTGTTCCTTTGATTTGTTCGTATGTTCTGCCATCGAAGGCGAAAAAGCTTCGTTGACAGAATGCAAAAAGCTGCATTAGGTGCTGGATCTTTAGCGGCTCTGTCGTTTCGTCGTACTTTTCTTCGAGGCGTTTGCGTAGCAGGTCGAGCGCCAAATCTGGTGGGATGGACGTGAAAAGTGAGACAACGTCGAAGGATACCATGATTTGGTCGGGTCGAATAGTTTTTCCCCGAATGTCGGCAAGGAATTGGGAGGCCGAATTGACGGACGTCACAGAGCCCTCTCGGAGAAAATTGAGCTTTCGGGACATCCATTTGGCTAAATTGTATGTGGGGCTGCCTTTCAGGGCAATGATTGGCCGCAGAGGAACGTTGGGTTTGTGGATTTTTGGTAGTCCGTAGAACATGACCAACGCGGTGTCGGTTGGTTTTGTCTGGCGTCATTCGTCCAGCGAGTTTACATTGTTGCGTCGGAGTCGGATTAAGAGTCCAGTCAGCTGGCCAATCATCGATTCGGCCTGCGAGGCGGATGCGGACCTGTAGGATTGTTGGTCGTCCAGGAGAGCTTGTGCCTTCTCGTTGTAATCAACGCGGTTTATCACAACTGTTTCTCTTCCTTTGTCGGCCGGTAGCACTATAATATCTTTGTCCATTTTTAATCTCTTCGTTGCTTCTATTTCTGCGGGTGACATATTGCTAATGTGCCTGTTCGTCATCAGGAGAGAGGTAACCTTTTGGCGCACCGTGTGTTTAGCCTCTTCGCTTGCGTTAGTTCGTACTAACATGGCCTCAAGTGCGGCAATGAAGTCGGCGGGGGTGTCATCAGCAGTGTTAAAATTGGCTTCGTGGCTCAACACTCTGAGTTCCGTTTCGCTTAACTGCTTCGACGATAAGTTGTGTGCCACCTTTTCGTTGGTATTGATTTCCGGTTTCAATTTGACAGCTTTTTGGTCTAGATTCATACGTTTCACTTCCTGTCTCGCTTTTGCCACGGTTGATATTGTTCGGTCCAGATACTCAGTAACTGATTCGCCGAGCAATGTCGTGCACTCGATTTCTAGAAAAACAGAAATCCGGCATTTTTTAGGGGAGTATGAGTCCCTACAGCGGATCAAGCTTTTTTACGCCTGCCGCAGACTAGGCTGCATACTAGGGTTCTTTTTTCTTCTATAAGTTCACATTCTGCCCCTTTTTGGGCTGGTATCAGCTGATCCACATCATTATGCATGAGGGCCACAAAGGTCTGTCTACAATTAAAAAAACAGTGTGTGACGTGTTTATACCGCAGGACTTCTTCCAGGGACGAGTTTTGCATGGTCCGCAACACCTTCTGGTTTATCTACTCCACTGTATCATTTCATGGGACGGCTCCCAGGCCGCTTGCAGTCTTACTGTTGAGAAAATTGCCGTCTAATCAGGGGGGACTGAAATAACCATGTCTGATCTACTTGCCGTCATCAACCGACCTTGCGCAAGCCCCAGGTTGGGGGGTATCCGGGGCCCGGATATGCAGTCAGTGAGGATTTGGATAGAAAGTCTCATCATCGAGGCACGGACCCGGCTCTCTGCCGACCGCGAGAGTAAGCATTAAAGTACACTGAAGGCAAGTTCACCTGCTTATTATTGGCTCATATGGTTAGCAGTGAGAGATTCTGTGTTCGAATTCCCCCCTCTCCCGCCAATCTGAGCTTAAGCTATGCTGGCCTGAGAGTTGGAAGCGGACCGGAAATTATTACCTCAGTAGTCTTCTTCACTATCAATTGCTCATATCTGCGCGACAGTCCGGATGGAATGTAGCCCTGAGCTCAGAGACAATCTGGATATAGGGATGACAACCACTTTGATGCCGCTATTGCCAGTTTCATTGCTGTTGATGATACTCGGACCTGGCAGCCAACCGAGTATTTTTGTAGGCTAAAAGTCACGATGCGATGGCTCCTTCTTAATGCGGTCTCTATAGCACTCCTAATCAGTGGGATTCGAGCAGTTCCTCTCGTTTCTTGCCGTGTAAAATCCCCGTGAGTGCACGTCATGGACCAGAGGGTCTGGTGGTACGCCGTGGGGCAGGTTTACGCCGTGTCAGCCACCTGCATCCTCTCCGGTCCCCAGTCTTCCTAAATCTCTCTTTTGACACCGGATGCAGCTGGGAGAAGAAGGGAGTGCGGTGTATTCGGCACAGGTTTATCATCACTTTAACGCGCAAGTCACTGTGCCTGCTCTCATCCTGTTCTGGTGTACACACCAGGCATTAACAGCAATGACGGTTGAAATGTCATTGGTGATGACAGTGATGAGGGTGCCTAAGTCGAAAATAGTGATGCTGATTTGGGATTATGGACGGAAGGTCAAAGATAAGTCCACGCCTAGTCTTAACCAACAAAGACGCCGCCCTTTCCATCGGCATCCATTCTTATAGTCAGTATCTGAATAATGATATCTGCCTCCCAAACGGGCCACGTGGTAGACGCGCTTGAACCACACGGGGCCACATCGGATTCTGGCAGGCGTTATCTTTGCGCAATAACAAATGCCAACATCTAGGGTGTGCGCTGGCAGACCGTGTTGTCGGCAGTCGTCGCACAACTGGGACCACTGCCATCACCCCGTTGTTTTGTGGGTCAAAATCCTGGCCATTTGCTGAGAGGACCAGGGGGTGCGGATCCGTCCAAGCCATCCGCCTGCGGCCTCCCTCGTCTCCGGTCTTCTTGACTTTGTCTTGACACCGGACTCAGGCGGGGAAGGAGGAGGGAGTGTGGTAGATGCAGCGCAAGTCTGCTGGCACTATAAACCCCTGGGCAAGTCACCGTGCCTGCTCCCACCACCTGTTGTGGGGCATACGGTGGACATCGTCAAAATCGGCGGTCGAATCTGAATAATAAACGACTCATTCCAAACACACAACCTCCTCAAGAGTTCATCCTTTAGGCGGATGCGTCAACAGCCCCCTCCCCCGGCTCCAATAAAGAATCCTCTTGTCTGTGAGATTTTTTCGCGCCTCAGAGCCTTTCCGTCGTGATTCCGGTCAGAGCGTCTCCGCCATCAATCAAGTAGCACGCAAAACTATGAGCAGGAATAGCAGGGCCAACAGTTGTCATTGCTGTTATTACTGAGGCCACTAGTTACGGCCGCTTTGGTGCTGCCGGCGTCTGAAGAGACGCCATAACACTACTGAGGGTTTGTTGCTGCGATACCAATCCGAAGGTGAGGGTTTGATAGAAGACCTGGTTAGATCGCAGTTGGTAGCCAGGAATGGGGAGTCGGACAGCCAGGTCCCCGTCGTACGAGAATGGTGGGAAAGGGGTTTATATGGGTGGAGTAAGTGGATGGGCTGGTAGAGGAATGCTGGAGTTTCTGCGTAAAAGTAAAGTTACCAGGGAAAGTGCTGGGAAGTTTTAAGTAGGTGGAATAATGATAAATGTAAACCCTACGCTTAACCCTAAAATCCAACCCTGACCGCAACCGTAAAGCCTAACCCCAAGCCTCAAAAACGAAACGTAACCAAAATCCCAAAAACCCAATGCTAACCCAAAACCTAGTCATGACCCTAACCTTAAGCCTAACCATAACCGTAACGTGAACCTAAACCCTTACACTGAAACCTGACCCTAAAACGCAAACCCTAATCCTAAAACTTAACCTACGCCTAACTCTAACCCTTACTAAACCTAACGGCCTGACCGAAACGGGCGACCTGCCTAACTCAGTAAGAGCACACCTACTGATAACAAGTTCCCTAGACAAGGTAAGCACACCTACTGATAACAAGTGCGTACGTCGACAGTATCACTGTACAATGTCTGGCTACCAACTGCAAAGGCCTTAATGAGAGGAAACACATAGTTTCGGTCCCATCGACCGGCTGATGACTTTTAGAGAACTTTTTCTTCTGAATCCAAGTTACTCAATTTGACAAGTAGACATATACGGTAGCTCTTGCATAAATCACAGGTCTCCCCCCCTACCGTCAGCACAAGCTAGCCGACCCATCATGCAGTCTGCCTGCACATGACCCTGGATTGCACGCAATCAGCGTGCACATTCCAGTCATTCCGACTGCTGGCAACAGTTCAAAGGTTCACGAGTAAACCACTGACTTTCCAGTGGGCTTTTGTTTCGCCAGCATATTCTCAGATTGTCTACTACTGAGAGGTTAGGAGACAAAGCTCTCTCTCTCTCTCACTCCAATCCATCCAGTTCCCTTGGCCCTTATCCTCGTAGCCTAAGGTAATTCGCCATCTGATAGATGAGTGGGCTGATGTGCTTGCCGTTGGCTATTCTGGGAGAGGTAGCAACCACCACAAATCTACGAGGCCATCCATTCAAACTACGTGTGAGAGGGGCCAGACTGGACACACGAAAGTTCTTCTTCTCCAACAGAGTGGTAGAAGCCTGGAATGCCCTGCCTGTGGATGTCGTTATGTCTGCTTCCGTGGAGGTTTTTAAGAGGAAGCTGGATTTGTGTAGCAGTGTGCACTAAATTACCACCCCGATCTCTGTAACCTCGACAAATTCCGCTATTATAATACTACTTGCTATATTTCAGTAACATTGTAAAATGAACTTATTATTGTACCAACCCATCGCCTACGCTTACTGACATGCACATATGCAAATTTTGTCCCCGGACATATTATTTATTTCGCTGCACTCGAAACGACAGCTCTACAACTGCTCGTACCACTAAAATTCGAGACAGTTTGTTTGTCTGTACAGACCTGACGCTTTTCCGATTATTTGTTACTTTATGATACCTTTTCGAGTTTTTGAGATTTTGCAGTTGCTTGTAAACAAATAGGGAGTTCAAAGGTGAAGACCTACATTTCCCTCAATAAACTGAACTGAACTGAACTGATTTACGGGTTTCAGGAACAATTTGAACTTGGTTACACCACGGCCATTCAAAATAGGCCAACACCGTAAAAGACCAGAAATACAGTCCGGGGAGTGTCAGTTTGTATACCGCCTCTATTGTTGAATCTTGTTAAGTTCCTTCTAATGAAGTTTCATTGTTTCAATACCTAGATATTGATCTCTTGCCAAATCTCTTCTGGTGCCTTATTAATTAGCTAGCTCATTGAGGTTTTAGTGTTTATAAATGAACGACGGTATGAGTGAAAGGTTACAATGTGGAATAAATGACTGAGCACATATGAGCCCCCCAATCGCGGGGTATTACGAATAAAGGCGATCACTCTCCAGTCCCCGATGAGGGCAACGGCACGGAGCTCTAAGACGAAGTGCTGTCGGCCCCGGTTTCGTTCTGTAACTAGGCCAAATCGGTGAACGACACTCCATTGCGCTCGTTGATAGTCCGTTAATGACGTCATATTCACAGGCTCATACTTAGTAGATAAGGGTTGTACCGCAGTGGCCCTACTCCTGTCTCAACGCTGGGCTTCCCGCGACT